AGGAGCCAGGAGTCGAGGAGCCCGTTCTTTGGGAGACTCTGATCGACGGGAGCGTAGATCCCGAGGTGGACGCCTAGAGCGGCCCTTCTATTTTGTTCTAGACTAGGCTATGTTTTTTTGAAAGATTGTAAAGTCTAGTTATCTTTTGAAATTCCGCTGCTTATCATAGTTTAATTCTTTGGGAATGTACATGCCATTGTGGGCATATTTTTTTGGGTTAACATGTAAATTTGATGGATTGATTATATAGTAGTTAATTGGACCCGGTGTGGTCATTATAGTAGAATTGCACAGGTTGGATTTTGTGGTAGAGCTCCCCGTACAAAGGAGACTCTGCCCGAATTTTGTTAAAATATCAATGGTTGATGGATAAAAATTTCTTATTTATGGATTTATTTAGTGCTCTCATGATTGTGAAAGGTTTTAGAATGTAATGCCGTCCGAGGGGGTATTTGGGGCGTTACAATTTTATTGGACTTTTCTTGCTAGCCCTAAACATATTAGACCATCTCTAATGAAAACTCAGACTCTTATACAGGTTTGAGTAAAAAAAAGGTTAAAAACTTGATTTAGTATAGACCTCTACAATGAAAAAACTCAAATTTAAATGAGGACAAACCTAAATTTAAAAGAGGGTAAATATAACTATTGAATTTTTAAAAGAGAGTGAAATCTCATCATTAAAGATTTGTGTATGAATTTGAATCTCCCTTAATTTGAGTAAAAAAAAAAGTCTCCCTTCATTTAATATGGGTATGAGTCTAACATTACAAAAAGTTTTTAAGAATTTCTTACTCAAATTTAAATTTTATTTTGAAAAAAAGGTAATGATTGAAGATACTCTTATGAATGTAAAACTTTGTCATAGACTATTAATACATACAAAAATTTGAGGCCTTCCATCTGAGTGAGGCATAAAGTCCAGACTTTAGTAGCCAAGTAGCTGGGTCGGCCCTAAAAACAAGACTTTTGGCCATCACACTAACAATTCCCATATTATTGTCAAAATAATTCATATCGCGTGAAAAAAAAAAATGAAAGGAATGTCACTTGAATTTACGATAAAAATTTTATCATTAAGTGAAAAAATAATAGAAAGGATCTCAATTCAAGAGTTATGTGAAGCCATTACATGGCGAGTTTTTTTTTTTTTTTTCTTGAAATTCTCTTCAAACATTTAGGACTGCATAAAAAGTTAATTTCATGAATGCATTGAAAGTTTTAAACACATAAAAGAAGAAAGGTGGACATTACCTATTACAATAAACATTATCCTACTTCCAATGTAGTTACTTTATGGGTAAAATAGAAGTTAGTACAAAAATTTAGACTTAATTAAGTTAAACTCCAATAGAAAAAATTATATGGGGAAAAGCGTATTTTTTAAAAAATGATAAAAATGTCATTCATCAAAAGGAAAGAATATCAATCCCATTTGAATGTCAAACGAGAATCTTGGATCCAATAAGGAATCAAGCAGCAAAAAAGCAAGCATTAAACCAAGTGTCCCTTCATCTTTGGTATTTTTGAGATTCGAATGGATTTATGAACAGATTTTAAAGATAATTCCCAGAATCGTTGAAGATCAAAAGGGGTTTTTTTAAAGAACAAGAGATCCTATTTTACTGTGTATTTGGCATTTTGGTTTGGTGTAGCTGTTTTCCATCGCCAGAGTCCTCTTCTCCAGACATTGAAGTTCACCTTCAAAGTTTTAGCCTCGATTTTTAATAGTTAGCTTTCAATTTTTTAAAAACAAATTTTGTTCAAAAGAACCCAAACTAAAATTAAATAGAACACTGGCAATTCCAAATGAAAATAACAAAGTTGAATTTTTTTATTTTGAATGAATATATAAAAAATTAAATTTTAAAAACACAAATTTTAAATAGTTACATTGATTTTTTTGTTTTTTGTAACAGTGTAAAGTAACTCTATTTGAGATTAAAGACATTTGATTCGTATATCTATTTTGGATAACTGTTTAGTGTTACAATCGGCATTTGAATCACTTAACGGTGCGCTTTTATTTATTTATTTTTAGTTCAATTTTTTTGTTTGATAAAATCCAAACCCATGTTTTGTAAAATGAAAATAATAAAATCTGAAATCTTTTATGAAGAATGTATGTATGTAAAACAAAAAAACCTTAAATTTTGATTATTAAATAATTACACGGAGATAATAGTTTATTTGTAGATGATTAACTGTTTGGTATAACTCTTTTGGTACATATTTGTTGTAACTCATTGGAAACTTTTATTTTTGTAATTGTTTGTTTGTAAATGGTTAACTGTTTGGTGTAACTCTTTGGTAATTGTTTGGTACAAATCTTTGGTAACTGATTGATTTAATTGTTTATTGTATTGTTAATATAAGTAGAGAGAGTAAATATGAAAGAAAATAGGAGAGAGAGATGAAAAATTAAATCAAATTTTTACATATTTGAAAAGAAACTAAATTATCAATTGGAGAGAGAGAGACATAAAATAGGGGAGCGATAGAGAGAAACGGGGGGAGAGAGAGAGAAAAAAAAATAGGAGGAGAGAGTAAGAGAGCAACGGAGAAAGAGACAGTGAAAAAATAAGAATTATGCATAATTTAAGGAAACATAAATAAGTAAAATAAATAAAAGGTCATTTGAGTTTTTTACTAAATCAAAAGATATTTTATTAAAATTGAACTTAATGAAGTAAATAATTTATCCATACATTTTTTTCTCAAATAAGTCTTAAAAAATGTACTCACACCAAAAAAATCTTTATTTTATTGAGTTAGATCCAACCCATGTGGTCAGGGGCGAAGCTAGACCATTTCTTCGGTGGGGGCAACATAAAATTCCTTAATAACTTTAAATATGTTTTTTAAAAAAAATTATCCTAGCTAATTCAAAAATCAATTCAATAGTTAGACTTTAACTCAATATCCATCATTGTGTGTTTTAACAAATAAATTATAAGAAAACCATAAATAACAAAATAATGGAGAAATTTTAATAGCAGGAATTTAGAAAAATTAATTCTATTATAACTCTATTAAGTCGAACTTAGATATAGGAACAATTTGAGCTATAATAATCAAATTCTTCAAGTCCAATTAATCAAACTAACTTGATCCAAAATATAATGCTTAACAACCAAATTATATATAGAGCAATTCAATTAAATATAAAAAATTCAAACCCCAGTTTTAATTCCAGCATCTAAAAATAACAAAGAAAGGATCGACTACTTCTGAATCATAATAACATAAACTTCAATCATATCTGTAATTCACAAAAAGATGACTGCTACACACCGAATTCATCAATAAGTTTCATTCTACAAAATTAAACTCCTTTATACTTTCACTACCGTCTAATATCCAAAGAAATCAACACTACACCTAATATTCCGAAAAGATCAAAAATCAAATGTTTGAATCATCATTGTTCAATTCAAATATAGATAATTTCAGTTCTATCATCCACTGTTAGATAAAAAATGAAATGGGTAAAAAAAATCAAATGGGTAGAAACCCTTATCGCCATGCCAAAACATACAAAAAATTTTGAAATCAAAGAAATCGTGTATGAGTTACCTCTTGCACGATAGCTCTCATAGAATTTTTTGAGCTCTCAGCAATTTTTGCAATCGACTGATTAAATAACAATCGAATCAATAACAAAAAAGGGGATGACTGAAGACAAGGAAAACATAAAAAATGAACAAAAGTGCACTAAATAGAGCAAAACTCAGTTGAAAAAAGGAACTTCCGATTCACAACAAGAATGATATGAGGGGCCAAAAAAAAAAAAAAGAAAGTCTAAAGAGATGAATGAAAAGTCGAGACCATGAGGTAAGAGTGTTCTCCTAATCTAATGTTATATTTATGAAACATACCCACATATTCTTCTAATATATAGAACTATACCTATAACTTTTCAATGGGCGCAATTTATAAAAATATTCAAATATTTTAAAATACTACCTAGGCCCCAAAATTTTCTAAAATTGCTGCCCCCACTGTAAATCCGCCACTGCATGTGGTAACCCAATCCATTATCATAGATCCATAATCCAATTATTTGTTTAATGTGATTTTCTTGGAAGTATTAAAAAAATGTTCAAAAAAAGGTATATATATAAAATAACGGGACAGTGTAAACGTGGAGCACATAGACCACATGTACATTGAAGACTTTATCTTCATGTGGAACTCCCCTAAGTGGACCACGTAGAATTTATAAGAAAATAGACTATACAGTAATCAATTTATTTTATTAAAAGTTTCTCAAATTGATATTTTTTGTAAGATCTATTAAATGAAATCTCTTTATATTATTAGTAATGCTATGCTGATCAAAATTTTAACACCAAATTTAGAGATCAAATGACATGTCAGCATATTATTTGGAGTTTTTATTGGGATCCAAATGACATGACACCAAATAAAAAAGTCCAAGTCAGCTAGTATGTCATTTGGACTCTAAATTTGATCCCAAAATTTGATCAGTGTAGAATTACTATTTTATTATTTTTGTTGATGCTCATCTTCGGGTGATGAATTATTGATATTTTAATAGTCACTTAAACTTGTTCTAGCAAGGATTATTGTAAACCTATTATTGAAATATAGTGGAAGGTTGAGATCAGAGTTCATGAATGTACCTTGGGTTTCAAAAACTACTTAAATTTTGTGTCTTACTTGTGATTGATTTTATTGTCTACTTCTATTTTTTTTGTTGATTGTGTTTGGTACATCACCTATTCAAATTTGCATAAAGGGGTAGAAAATTAATTATGTTTTTTTTGTGAGTTCACCATAAAAAATAGTAATGCAAAAGTGAGATTCCGCTTCAACCTCAGAGAATTCGGATTTTTTTTGTTTGTTTTGGTAAATAAACAAAAATGTCCTATATTTGAATAGGACATAAAGCTCTCGCAATAAATGGAGAAAACATCAGAAAGAGAATACAGGTTTACCATGTAAGTTGTAGCTGTAAATGTCCTATGTAAGTTGTAGCTGCAGATGGTTGGGCTACAACTTATGCTAGAATTGTAATTTATTTTATTTCCTCTGTTATATATATCACAACTTTCAATGGCTAAAAAAAAAATACAGATTTTATACTGGAAGCATCCTGATGGACATATAGAGATTAGACAATAACTTGTTGAATGTTGAATCTGATTGGATCTATGACATTAATCCAAAGATGGCACTAGAGGCCACCCCAACAGCTAGTTGTGCTACAAGTCTATACATCTTGCCCGCTATCCCATTTGTTGTTCCACCAACTGTTGGAGTCTGATGGTTTCCATTGTAGTATGGACTATACCCAGAAGGCATCCCATAACCATATGGTAGCGGCCATGGCAGACTATATCCAGAAGGCATCACATGAGCATAACCTCCATATGGTGGCGGCCCTGAAGGCATCCCATAACCATAACCACCATATGGTGGCGGCCTTGGTGTACTATACCCGGAAGGCATCCCATGACCAGAACCACCATATAATGGCAGCCCTGATGGACCAAACGGCGGAATTGAGCATTGTGGTGGTGGCCCTGGCAGACTATATCCAGAAGGCATCACATGAGCATAACCTCCATATGGTGGCGGCCCTGAAGGCATCCCATAACCATAACCACCATATGGTGGCGGCCTTGGTGTACTATACCCGGAAGGCATCCCATGACCAGAACCACCATATAATGGCATCCCTGATGGACCAAACGGCGGAATTGAGCATTGTGGTGGTGGCCCTGGTGGACGTGGCTGACCAAGCGGAACTGAGCGTTGTGTTGGCGAATCAAAGGTTTGTAGAAGGCATTCCAGATGAATATAAAAGCCACAAGCTCCGCACCCATAACGCCAAGACCAACACGAGCCTTGGCAAAAGGCACACAAGCCAGATGATGATGATGATGACTGGAGGGTTAACGGATGCGCCGGGTGGAGCGCGTGGCATAGGGACTGAGGCAACTGGGTACAAAGTGGGTGAACATCGAATTCGCAATCCTTGCACCTGTAGAACAGCCCTTCCACATGGTCCCCACAGACGTTACAGACGCGCTCGTTCCGGCGAGTGGCTTTAGCTTTGCAGACTAATAGATTGAGTGGGTGTGGATGCATGAAGGAGGAGAGGCTTCTAGGGCATGTACCACAGAATTCATGGATATCGAAGTCGCACCGATTGCATCGGTACCTTGTCCCGGATCCATTGGTCTTGCAACCATCACAGACGTATTCTGTGTTAGCGGTAAGCTGTACTAGCCGATGCCCTGGATGGGTGAAGTGCTCTATGGAATTCTTCGTCAACGGAATCATTCTCTCTCTCTCTCTCTCTCTCTCTCCCCCACGAAGACTTGTCATGGTTTACATTGAATGTGTCGTGCATTTCCTTAATATAGACATATCAAAAAATGACCTAAAGAAAATGAATTACCGCGAAACAAGATACGATGAAAGTTCGTGCATATTTACATTGAACATCCCGTGTCTTTAGTATAGTCATATTAGAAACCGAGAAAAAGAAAATGAGTTAATCACCGGACTTAAAACAATGAGTAATATTACATGGATTTAAAAAATAAACTTAAAAATTAAATTTGATAATCTCAACTATTAAATAGATAGTGATCCTTATAAATGTTAAAACCCACAATAAAATCAATAATTAAAATTATTAAATTTAATTTTTAAATTCACGTAGTATTGCTCAAAAACAATAAGTTGTGAACCGAAAACTTGGAAGGTTTCAATTGCTTGACTTGTGCTAAGGCTAACAATCAGATGGGGAAGGATGCACAATTCACGAAAATAGGCTCTAAGCTAAAGATAGACGATCCACGGTGGACCACTGCCCTTGCTAAACTAGTATTTGAGTGAGGGCTTTTTATATTTTTTTAGTGATTTTTTTTTTGTGTAAAATATATTTTTAGTTTTTTAAGTATGCGTGTAGTATTTATTTTGTCCTCAATCTTTTAATTCTGTTTATTTAACCCTTGAGATTATTAATTTGTATCTATGTGGTTCAATCTCAAACGTTATCAAAAAATTGTTAACGTCTTGGTCACGCACTAATCATGTTGGATCAAATATATACAAATTAGAAACTTTAAAAACTAAATAGACACAAAATTTGAAACCATGTGATTGGCGCGTGTCCGGAATCGTCATGATTTTTTGACGGATATTTAGAATTGGATCGCGTAGATACAAATTAAGAATCTTAAAAACCAAATAAATACAATTGAAAGATTGGAGACTAAATAAGTACTAAACGCATACTTTGAGGACAAAAAATATATTTTACCCCTTTTTTTTACTTCAAACTTCAAATTACAAAATTATTAAGTAAATATTTTTATTAAATTAATGGCAACATATTATTTTTAGTTAATAGTATGATTATTTTATTTAATCTTTCTTATAACAATTTATTTGAGGTATGGTTTTATCAATTTTCATCTTTGAATTTTTTTAAGAAGTAATTGTTAAAGATAATGTAAGTAATCTATTGCAAGCAAAACATTAACTTAAAAAATCCAAACCAACTTTAATATCTAATTAAGTACCTCACTTAAAAAAATTATTATTTGACTACTCGAAACAGAGAAAGAAAATAATGAGTTGATGATTATTTCTAGTTTTATTAGATTGTGTCGTGTCAATTATCACGCAAATTATTTGATTAAATTTTTAGATTTCAATAGGATTGCTATTTGAAAAATTGAAGACAATGATAATGACTCCATTTTGTTAGATGAAATGTCCCTATTAATTGATCATTTAGGCTTGATCGTTTTTTTTCCTTCTTAGTATAAACTTCTCTAATACTATTTTTATTGAGTTTAGACTCTTTTCGAGTATATTAAAAATAATAACATGAACTATATTACATAACAAAATCGAGGTCTTATTTTAACTTTATAAAAAAAATTGAGACCTTATTTTTCATGTCTGAAAGCCATCGCTTTAATGGCCTTAGACTTCAGCCGGCCAGAGTGCAAAAGTCATAATCTCAACAAATTTTCTCATCATCGGGCGCATGTCATGACTAGCAAACATGAATTTTTAAAATGCCTTCATTATCTCAATAAACTTCAAAATTTAATTTCTCCATAAAATTTCAAGCAACATTCCCTAGATTTTTCAAGATAAACCAAATCATGATTTACTTTTATCAAATTGATATTAATATTTATCAAGTTAACACCAAATTAATATTTATCAAATTAATACCAAATTAATATTTATCAAATTAACACCATATTTACTTTCATAATATCATTTATTTACTTTAATTTTAAATTAACATTTAATCTCATCAAATAGACACCTAATTAATATTTAATTTTATATCTATCAAACTAGCCTTCAATTTTATAAAATTAACATTCAATTTCATGAATTTGACATTTAATTTTATCAAATCAACAACAAATTAACATTTCATTTTTTTAAACTAACATCAAATTAATATTCAGTTTTATCATACTAAGACCAACTTAATTGCCTAGTATTGTAGTTGGAAGTTGGAACAAGTTGGGATTGCCAAAAAGAGAAGATGATATTGTATTAATCTCATTTTGATTTATATACATGCTAAGGGCAAAGTTGGCAATTTATAATGCAATATGCAAGCACATCACATACTTCTTTGGTTGTCAATAATGGCATAAACGGTAAGGGTAATTAGTGAAGTACATATATAAACTAGATGTGATGTTAGTAAGGATAAGGGTAAGGATAGTAGATGTGATGTTAGTAAAATATCACCTGAATACAGGGATGTCAGTAAAATTTATCCAAAGTAAAAATATGTTAATTAGAGCATGGACATTTGTCCATTTGTCCTAAGCCTAATTACATCACACAAGTGACGTTGGGGGTGGGACATTGGCTATAAACAGGTCACTTTGGCAATGCACAAGGGAGGAGAAGGAGAAAGGAAGAAAGGCGTTAAAATTTTTCGGTCTAGGAGATTCATGGGGTTGGAATTGAGTTTTAGAAATAAATATTGGTTCTTGCACATATTATATTTTTGGTTCGAAACTCTAATTATCTTTTTGAATTACTTGACATATAAAATATTTTGAATTTTATTATGACGCATTAATTTAGTACTTGATTTCTGTCTTGATGTCGAATTTGAATACAATGTGACTCTGTTTTATAATTTTTGATGAAATTACATTGAATGCACATTATTGATGGTAGAGGGTTAGTAAACATGTGGTCCTTGCGAGGATTCACAGAATTCTATTAGTTCTTTGGTTCATTGTTTAGTAATATTGGTTATCGTTAGTAGCCTACGTGACATCACAAAATTACCGGTATTAGTGTTTCCAAAAAAGCAAGAAGGGCATCGAGTTCATTAGGGTGCAAAACTCCAAAATTTTCTCGGAAGATTATTCATGCATGGATCAAAAAATTGACGAATTGTGATGATCGATATATGGTACATTCCTGTGATTTTAATTTGATCTATTGTTATGCTTATTTGTTATTATATTTATGTGTTGTTCTAAAAACTTGATATTCATTAATAAATGTTATCCTACTGGGCTAGTGAGTTCATCCCTATTTAACATTTTTCAAAAATAGGAAGGAATCTAGAGGAGTAAGCTGGGGATACCACAAATAGAAGCAATTACTACTATTTATCTTTATGTTGTACCAGAACGTTTTATCGATCATGTTTTGATCATATTATGCTCTAGAATATAACCTTATCCATAATATATTAATAATAATATAAATAAGGTTATTATATGTTATAGAAGATTTATTCATTAATCACGACTAGTTATTTTTTAGGAGAAAAATTGGGGCGTGACTGCATAACAAACAAAAAAATCTCTAACTATTACCCATGACCAACTGTAACACAAGAAATATCTCAATTCAAAAAAAAAAAAAAAACACATTCGATGGACCGATGCCTTATTCAAGTCCATTGCTTTACATGGGTTCATTGTGATTTCGATATCTAGCCCAACATAATAGAGATCAAAATTTTATGTACCTAAATTCTAAAATAAAAAAGACTGTTTGAATCCAGCACAATAAACACTTTTTACTTTTTCTAAAAGAGTGCAATCAAACTTTCAATTCCTAAAAAAAAAAAAGTAAAACGAATTCAATTTAGAAAGAATCATAATTTTCTCCACGTGATATCAAAGAAAGCTAGCATAAAGCGATAGCAATATAAATGTTAAAATGCCATGCTCATTCAGTATTCATGTTGAAATAAGTACACAGTGATGTAATGTTTTATGTATGTAACAATTAACCCAATTTCAGGCCCCCCAAATCAAATTTTTTAAAGATTCTAACAAATACTCACAATCCATGCATTGAATTTTCAATGGTTTTAATCTTGAATGCAGAATCAGATTCTCAAAAGTTATTCTTTTAAACAAACACATTCGAAAGGGTTGCATATCAAGCACATGGTTTGATCAATCCAAACCACCCATTTCAGTGAGTTTTGTAACTAACTGACACACATCGGAAATACATACAATAGATTACCATGCAATTATTAAACCAATATAGACAAAAGAATCCAACAAATATAAATACTATCTAAGAACAAACAGTAAGAATCTCAATAGGAAGAATGAAAGATGTACAAAGCCAATGTTCGCGTACCAATTTTTCTTGCACTGCTAGACTCAACGGTTTGACTAAATTAAACCCATAATACACAAACTGAACAAAAGAATGACTAAATTAAACCATAATCAATGGCGGAGTCAGGAATTTTGTTTAGGGTAAGTACTTTAATTACACACTAATTTTTTTTCCTAAACAATCACACTACATAATATATTTATATTTATTATGTCACATTTGATAAATGAAGTCCATTTAACATAAAACAAAAAAGCCAAAAAATAATGTATATTGTATATGTATTAAAAAAGACTAATTATCACTATTGTAAAAAAGTGGAGATAATTGTCATTTTTGAAATTAAAAAATATCAATTGTTCAATTAACAACTCATAAAATTTATCGTTTATTTCAATATTATCACTGAGATATTAACATAGTAAAACTACTAAACTAAAATTTAAGAGCTGAATATAGTAAAAAAAAATTAAAAATCGATTGACAAATAATTAAGACTATAATCAATACTCGAATAGAAATAGATTAATTAGGATAATTTTTTTGCATTATATGATATATATGATTGAAGGGTAAGATTATGGTGTAGAAAAAAAAATTTAGGGAAAATTTCAACCACCCACTATATCTTCAAGAACATCCCTCAATTTTTTGAATTTCCTCTGACATTCCCCTGTCAGATTAAAAATGTTAACTAAAATACAATT